TGCTCGTCCAGCAGGATGTTGTCCGGCTTGATGTCTCTGTAACAGAAAACAAAGGAGCTGAGAATGCGATTCCTGGAGCCTCCTGACAAACGCACGACAAACGTGACACTTGGGGACAAACGCCTGCCAACACCAGGCATGCCTGTCTGTCTCCCCCGGGCGCGAGGCCTCAGACGGGGAGCGGGGCAGGAATGATTTTGATAACGGAGTGCCCGAGTTCTCGCTTCCTTCCGTTTCCTGGAACTGCGAGTAGATCGTGTATTTTTTCTTCCTGAAGATTCTTAACAATTTCTGGCCTCTCATTCCACGCTCAGGGCGTGTGTGCTCTCGGCCAGCAGGTACGGGCACTTCCCTTTCCTGCTGTAATGTAGCCCTACCCCCCACCCCCGCCTCCACTAGGTACCAAAGCCCCCAGGTGTCAGTGTCTGCACAGACAGGGGACTGAGGCTCAGGGAGGGTCTGTAACTTGTCCAAGCTGGAGACAGGCCGCACCAGGCCCTCGGCGCTTCTGTACCGTCTGTGAGTGAGAAGGGCTTTCTATCCAAGAGGGGTGTAGAAATGACAACAGCAACAACAACACACACACACACACACACACCGCAAAAATGAAAAAGAATGCATGGCAGAGACTAATGTGGCTCCCCAGGCCTAAGATCTTTCTCATCTGGCCCTTTGGAGAGAGAACTTGCTGGCCCCTTTTTGGGGTAACACAGCAAACCATGTGCAGCAAAATCTGGGCTGGGGAGTTTCTGGAAAGTTCTGCTCTACATCACCATTATAGCGGGGCCTCCCAACTCCCAGGCTGTGCTTCGTAAAGGCAGAGGCTTTGCTTTCTTCTCCTGGGTGCCCCGTGCCCAGCTCGGTGCCCGTCAGAGAAAACCCAGGGCCGGGTGGCAAGTGGGGTCGGTGGATGGGAAATTACTGGGAGGACACGTGGGCGGTGGGGGAGGTTCTGGCCAAAACCACCCACCAGGATTCCTGCCGAAGGCAGGTCGGGCCTCTGACAGCCCCTGAGGGATGAGGGTATAGGGGGCAGGGACTCCGGCTAAACTGGCTTCGCAGGTTCTTACTAAAACTGGACAATGCAGAGACCGTGAGGGATGCGGAAAGCTGAGGCCCAGCTGCAGCAGGGCTCAGGCCTGAGCAGTTTGGTCCAGGAGAGAATCTTCGTCATCACAGGCGGCGAGGGCGGAGGGAGGCGCCTGAGCGCAGCACAGCCTTCGAAGACTCTCGCCCGTGCCCTCAGCCGCATCTACGCGCCGCGCGCGGACACTCACCCCCAAAGCTCTACGCGAACCCGTCAGTTTTAGAAATGCAAGCCCCACTCACTCATTCCCAGTAAACGCCATCTCTCCGAGGCTCATGACGGCTTTCTTGCAAATAAAAGCAATGGTTCCTGATTTATCGGATGGCAATTCTACTGGAAAACACACTGTGGTTATTTGTAATAATATGAGGCAATGTTTATGGCTTTGGGGATGAAAGAAACACTCAACCTCTATATCTGAATTTTCGTCTTCATCACGGCTTTTGCAGCCCATGAATATTGATGAGCATTAAGCAAATGGGCCCTACTGTCAGGTTCGCAAAACATCCGGGGTGCGCAGAGACACCGATTATTTGCAGAGTCCCCGTGGGAAGGATGAACTTGAGAACTCACAAAGTTAAAACGAAAGGCAGAAGACTCAAGGTCAAGTACTTGGGGATCAGATAAGCAAACACTGCTTGCTGTCCAGGGCATCTCCCTGTAGGATTCTCAAGAAAAGGTGAGACAAGGGAGAATAAATACTTGTCAAAAATGAAAATACAGTAGGATGGTCAAGTGTATCCATAAGGCATCACTAGGACCGAGCCGACCTTGTTGGGGGCGTGGGGATCACAGAGGGGGTGGCCATGGCCCAGGAAGCGTGAACCCAAAGCGTCTGCAAGGGCCGCAGCCTGAGCCGCCTCCACTGATGTGGAAACTCCCTGTCTCGGAGTTTATGCCCCACGCTCCCGGCCTCGTCCCTGCCTCCCTCCCTCACTCCTTCCTCTTCCTCCATCCGCTTCCTCCTCCATCCGCTTCCTCTCCCCCAGGCAGGACTGGGTAGGAAGCTGGGCTTGCGGGGGCTCCAGACACAGTCCCTCCCTTCCTGAAGCTCAGCATCAGCGAGCGGGTGCCATCTGAAGTGGCACAGACGCCACAGTGCAGGGGGAGGGGGCCAGGGAGCCCAGGAGGATGGAACAGGGGCAGCTGGAGGCGGAACAGCCCGGGATTCACTCGGACCAGCAGGGCCCAGAGCGTCGGGGCCAATGAGAGGTGGGGGTGGCGTAAGGAGAGGTGAACATGATTAGTGGGGTGAACAGTGTCCCTCTAGAATTTATGTCCACCCAGGACCCCAGAATGTGACTTTATTTGGGAGCAGGGCCTTTACAGACGGAACTGGTGAAGAATCTCATGACGAAACCAGCCTGGGGTTAGGGCGGGTCCTACACCCCATGACCTGCATCTTCACAAGAGAAAAGAGAGGAAGGTGTGGCCACGGAGACACGAACACTGCTTGCTGTCCAGGGCATCTCCCCTGGATTCTCAAGAAAAGGTGAGACAAGGGAGAACAGACAGACCCGGCTGAATAGAACCGAATAGAACTTGTGTTCCCGGAGGGCAGACCGGCCAAAAATTACTCAAATAAATGACAGGATCGCAAGTCGAGACGAGTGCCTCGAGGGCGTAGAAACGAGACTGACAGAGGGTCCTGCCTTTGACAGGTGGTCAGGGGGGGACTTTCAGCAGCTGTGACATTGGGCTGACTTCTGAACCACCAGAGAGAGCCCAGCACGCACCCCTGGGGGTGGATTCTCACCACCGATGAGGCAATAGAAGGCCGAGAGGGAAATGACCTGACCCATGACGTGCTTCGAGCCCAGGGAAGGTGACGAAGGTGACGCATGACATCTCCATGCCACGGTGACTCTGTGGAAGGCTCCAGCTCGGCAGACTGGAGCGAGGCTCCTCCCGTTCTGGCTTTGAAGACGTGGGGCTGCCGTGTGCGAGCTGGTCGCCTGGTAGAGGCTGCAGGTGCCTCTGACTGCCAAGCGCCAGGAAGAAAACGGGACTCAGACCTACAGCACAGAGACTGAATTCTGCCGACGACCGTGAGAGCTTCAGAGAGGTCCAGAAAGGCCCAGAAAGGTCTAGAAAGGTCTAGAAAGGAATGCAGGCCAGCAGACACCTGGTTTGCGGCTTTGTGACACTCCGGGCAGAGGAGCCCGCTGAGCTGTGCCCGCCTCCTGGCCCGTGGAAACTGTGGGCGAAGCGATGTACGTTGTTTTAAGCTGCTGAGCTAGTGGTCGTGTGTCCTGCAGCAACAGGAAAGGATGCACCGGCTGGACGGCCCCGACCACTGACTCTCGCCCTCCCCTTCTCGGCATCTGGAAAATGGCCGTCGCAGCCCCCGTCTGACCGCTGCCGGAGGACACACGACGAGGTGCTACTTATCCACAGCTCCCAGAGCGTGACAGGCGGTGAAATAAAGTGAGGCGCTTTTTGCACGGAGCTCGGGCGGACTCGGCCGAACGAACTAATCTCTTCCAAGGGGGACGCACCAGGCAGACCGCTGCAAAGCCGTCCGGGCAGACGGAGAGCCGAGTCGCTTGGGGTGTAATAACAACACCGCTCTACGGCACAGTGTCCTGTCAGGCCTCGGGCTCGCCGGTGTCAGCTGCCTCCTGTCCTGTTCCTCGCACCGATCGCCCCTCGGCTCCGGCGTGTCCTCCTGCCGCAGATGGCCTCGTCCGTCCAGAAAGGGCGTTAGAAGCATCGAGCGGATGGCAACGGCTGAGATGATGTTTTCTGAGCACAGGCACCGAATTTCAGAGCTGGGCAAAACGACCCTTTGATGGAAAGCAGGTCTGCGAGGCTATAAAGCCCGGTTCTTGCTCTTGAGTTATTCCCGGGCCCCAGATAAAACGAAGCGCGAACTGTCAGCTGGGCTGACAGAAATGGCTCCGATCCAGACGGCCGTGGAGGGCTGTGGGGACGTTTCTGCACGTGTCCCTCGCAGGGGCCTCTCGGTGTCCCATGCTGACAGCCTTAGGCAGCAATAGGACAAACAGAATCCTGGCAGGGAAGCAGCACCCTGCGAAATGAAAACCTGTGGATCGTTCACGGCCGGAGACGGAAGCACGGAGCGGGCGGGGAGGGGAGAAAGGCAGAGGCGGGGAGGGGACCTGAGCCCGCCTCCTGCGGGGCCCGTGACCGTGGCCCCCCGCCCCCAAGCCCAGCCTCAGTGTCCTCAGACACGAGATGGACAGTCATACGGATTCCGGGTGCTATGGCGAAGACTGGTTCGTTTCAGTCGTTTTTATTTTGTTCATCGTTAAAGCACCTACAGTAGGAACTTTTCTTTACTGGGTTCCCAAACCCGAAACTGATGCCAGTCGTCCCATCCGGGAACCTCCGCAGTGACCCGCCGCTCACCGAGGAATGCCATCTGGGGCACTGCAGGCGGGACTGACTGGTGACAGGGTTCAGAGTGGCCGGCTCTGGGGCGGGAGGAGACCGTCCTGGCTGAGTGCTGGGTAGAGGCTACTGGACAGAGGGAGGTGGGCTGAGATCACTTGTGACGGGTTCGTTTGATTATAAGGCCAACTGGAGGTGGTTTGGCTTCGGAAGGCATCTGGGGACTTTCTCCTGGTCTGGCTGAAGGCCGGGTGACTAGTCCGATTTCCGTGAGGACATATGAGAGTGACCGGCACAGCGCGGGGCCCGAGGGCGCACGTTTGTTATTAATGGGAGAGGGAGGCCAGACGCTGCCGCTCAAGCTGAGCGGCTGAAGCTGAGCGGACAGGCCGGCGCCGGGCAGGAGGGCGGAGGCACGTGCTGCGGTGAATCGGTGGGGCTGACCTTGGCTGTCGGCTCTGTCTCTCTTAGGAGGCATGGGCTGAGCCTTGCACCCATCGGCCAGCAAGCCGATGTGGGACAGGAAGTTGGCGAACTCGGCTCTCACATTTTGGAATCTCTTACCGTATCGGCAGAGACTGTTCTCCTAGAAACT